GAGTTCCCTGCCAGAGCTCTGCCACCTCCCCCTCAAGCAGTGCCCCCAGAGAAAGCTGCTTGCCCTGGGGGAACCGCTATGTGCTCACTCCTAAGCTACTACTCTATGCGTCCATAAGACATAGAGCCGTGGCTCTGTTCCCCCCTCCCCGCTCTCTCTTCATTGGTTCACTGGCTATGATTGACAGCAATAAATAGCATATGGACTGCGAATACATCATGCAAACAATATAAACTTAGTAACAATCTATATATAATGAGTGATGAACAGTAACCATCTATAAACTGGTTTTAATATACAGTCCCAGAATGTGAAAATAATGTGCAAATGTGCGAGATTCTTGATTGTGAACTCCGTCTTGAAGTGACAAGTGCTCCACTGTGCTCAGACTGGTGACCCACATGGATTTGCACTCACCATCATCCCATGACCACCTGTCTCTAGGATGGTCACTTCCGCTTTGTTGTGATTGGCCCAGTAACGGCGTTATGTTGGTGACTAATGTCCCTTCACAAGTACTCCACAGTGTTGCTAATGGTAACTGATGTATCTTCACAGGGGCTAGATGGTACTGCTAATGGTAACCAATGAGCCTTCCCAGAGGCTAAATCAATATCAGTAATTCTCCTCTCCTGGGTTTAATTTGAAATGGGTCTGGTCAGCAAAGGCATAGATGAAGGTACAGTTACTTCTCCCCAGAGAGATGGCCCAATCCAACAAAGAGAAATCCCCATATATTCAAAGAGATGGCCAAATCCAGCAAAGAGACAGCCCCATATAGCAAAGAGACAGCCCCATACAGCAAAGAGACAGCCCCATACAGCAAAGAGACAGCCCCATACAGCAAAGAGACAGCCCCATACAGCAAAGAGACAACCCAATCCAGCAAAGACAGCCCCATGTAGCACTGATCAGTTTCTCCCTCATTATAGGTCCCCCATTAGCGTCCCCTCCCATTGAATTTCTTTAGTCCTCCCTTACCAAGGGCTGGATGGGAGTAGCCAAAACTCTGTGGGTGGAACTTAGCGGGTGGAACTCGATGCGTGGTATTTGATGGGCTCGGTAACAGTGTTTTTTTTTTTGTTTTTTTTTTTTAAATGCAGTGCGGTTACTGCAGTCCTGTCTTAGCCCTCAGTTACACCTAAAGCAGAGAGACAGGTGGGGCACAGGCAGCATCCAGATCTGGAGGAGGAAGTTCTGTTCTAGTCCACTGAATGCTGGGGGCGGACCAACCATGTAGTTGGTTGCTAGATGCCAGGTGGCCCTAGCAATCAGGTGGGAGATAACTGCAACGTCAGAGCTGTAGGTAGAGCAACTGAAGAATCATTGAGATTAAAGCATATTCCCCCTAACCAAATTACCCCTACTAAAACAAATCTTACCCTTCACCCCCCAAATGAGTTCCCTTCCTAGCAAAAATTTCCCCCCCCCCCCCCAATACCCTAACCAAGAAGTAATCATATTCTCCCTCCCTCTCCTAGTACAATTGCTGTCCTCCTCACCACAAATTACACTACCCTCCTCCCCCCTTGTGTCTCCCCCCAGTGCATTTCTCCCTTAACTCAAACACACAGACCTAAGACACAGTGCGGTACAAGGCTGTGTAATGCCCTTCGTCCTAGGCTCCTCCTCATCTTGACAGGTCAGAGCTGAGGAGGAGCCAGGAGAAGCCAATGCCTAACTACTTGAAGGCAGCTGGTGGAAGAGATGCCGCTGCTGAAGGGGAATAGAATTAGAGCTTGGAGACACAACTAGATGTGAGATCAAGATTTTACAGAATTTGTTTACCCTGCCCCTACCCATATTCTTTGCTGGGAGTATATGGGATGGGTAAAAAAAACTGCTAAATCCCGATTTCTCAGTTCTGATGCCGTGCTACAGAATGTGAAACTGGAGAGGAGAGAGAACGCATCCCGCACCTCCTCCGGTCTCTCCTCCTCTTGTCCTTGAACATGTAGTCCAGCGGCCCCCGCCCACTGAGCAAATGCCTGGTGTGCCCTATGGCTAGTCTGGGCCTGGGAATGAGGTAATCTCCACTTTGGACGATCTATACAGTATTGCTGAGTATTCACCCTAAACTTTGCATTCTGGGGTATGTAGACCCCAATATGTATAATTCCAATGTAACTGCAGCAATTCTAAGATAGCTCTTTATTGCCAGAAAGTTGAATGCCTCTAGATGGATATCCGCTACTCCACCACTGTGACTGATTGGATATCCAATATGAATAAATTTGTAATGTTTAAGAAACATACTCATCTCCTCCATAATTCGGTCCATAAATTTGACGCAATTTTGTCCAGTTGGGTAGAAGAGATGTGCCCCGTTGCAGTTTTCTGATGATGTATACAAACATACTAGAGTTGAGTGCTGGATATTTGTTAAATCTGAGTATGCCATCGACATTTACTTGCCTGATCAGGACACTTCCTGTTAATGGTGCTGCACAATGTTTTTTCCTTTGTATTTGTTACCAACTGTGCTGCCCTGTATGGCAGTCTATATTCTCGCTTTGTTTTTGTTCAAAAAATTAATGAAAAAATATTTAAAAAAATAAAATCTGATTAAAAAAAAAAAAAAAAAAAAAAAGAATCAGACCTGTCCTGTGTGTCTTCTGCATACTTCTTATGTTATCTTGGAAATAAATTATTCTTCCAGTTTTTATCTTGGGACTACAGAATGATTAGCCTTGTCACCAGAAAACTCTGAGGGCGGACAACACTAAATCCACAAAACTGCTATCAACTTAGGATCAGAGTGCATTGCTGGTAAACCAACACGTATTTTTCTATACTTGCAAGGCCTTTAGAAGGATAAAACATGGGGTGTGGATTTACTGCAGATTTGCTGCAATTTTTTGTTAATATTTTGGCCTGACATACACTTTAAGCCCTGGTTCACACTGATGAGGTGTGGAATTCGCAACGTTCTCCGTGCGAATTACGCACCGCATCAGAATCGCACCCCGTTCATGCGAACCGCTGCGGGTGTGTATGTTAGGTTAACAACACCCCGAAAGCGGTCCACAAAACGAGGTGCGATGTGCAGAATCGGATCGCATAGGTGTGAATACCCATGTGATCCGATTCTAGTGCGGACCAAAAAAAGGGTCATGCATGTTTTAGGTGCAGTGCGATTAGAGCCATACAAAAACGTATGGCTCCAATTGCACTGCACACAAAATCACGTGATTTGCACAGGAATGCGGTGCGGTTCCTGTGCGAATCACATGCGATATACCGCACCACATATATGTGAACCCGGGCTAAAGATTAATTCCAGCAGAGAGGAGCAGAGGCCTCATCTTGACTTTCTAGGGAAAGCTGAGATTTGCTTAAAGCCTAATTCCAGGTTTTAAGCAATATGTTTGGACCAAGTTGATCCAAATAACAAATTTTCTTCACCAACAGATGCACCTGCTGGGAGCTCTGTATACAATATATGTAGCATCAGCTACGTACATCACAGTGCTGTGTTCTGGCAGCAGAAAGACTTCCCGTCCCACTTCCAGAACAATTCGAGTCGGGCCGAGTGCTGCTTATCCAGTCACAGGAAGCTTTGTATTTCACTAAATATTGGCTGAGATGGAGATTGTGACGTCATCCGTCCACTTCTCCACCTCAGTCAATCTACTGATGAAATACAATGAATACTATGAATGGCTGAACAGAGTTTAGCTCGAATTGACTTTGTCCCGGGAGCAGACAGGAAATTCTCATCCCACTGCCGAAGCAAAGTGCTGTGTAATGTATGTACCTGATGCTACATACAGTTTATACAGCCCTCCCAGAGGAAGCTTTGGTTAGTAAAGGAAATAGTTAATTTTGACCAACTTGTTCAAATGTACTATTTAACCCCTTTACACCGGCCGCACACAAATGTGCGGCCTCCCGGCGTCTGGGCCTAGATGCTGAGCAGCCGCACATTTGCGTTCATGTAACAAAACACATATGTGCTGAGAGCGCGCTCCCAGCACACGTGTGGTACTCACGGAAAGGTCCCGGTCCGCTCTTTCGATCGGGACCTTTCCCGATCATGTGACCGCCGTGACGACACATCACGGCGGTCACATGATCCCTAAACCACGCCTCGCCTCCGGGCGTCTGAAACTCTTAAAGGGCCGGGAGGCGCCAGCGGGAAGGGGTTAAAGTCAAAAGAAACCCGGAGATAGGCTTTGAGCAAATCTAAATGCTTGCCTACAAAATCAAGATGAGGCCAGTCCCCCTATACTGCTCACTAGCATTTTGGGTGACACTAGGGGATGCTATCTGCAATGAGTTAGTATGTCCCCACATCTGCATGGGGTTTCCACACACAATACCATCCTTTATATAAAGAATATTGGAACAATAAAAGAAACATCAGTACAAAAAAAATCCCTGTAGACTATTAACTACTAATTGGGGGACCACAACCACATTATAAAAGGATGTGTATCTCTGTATGCCCATCATTTTTATATGGTGCTACCTCGTGAAACAGCAATTGTGTCACACTGAGACAAATAATCAGTTAAAGTTTAGGTCAAAGCCCTCTTAGCCCCCCTCAATACAACCAGCTGCCCTCCATCCCCCTTGCAGGTCCGCACTTGCTTCCTCAGATGACTGTGGCCTTCTGCACTGTTTGCAGCCCAGCTGGTAACAATGTAGACTTGAATACGATGTTGCTCCTGCAGTACAGGTATGTCCCATCCAAGTCTATTGGACATTAGCGTGCAGACAACCTGGAACTAGATTTTTACCCCCCCCCCCCCCCGGGTGCAGACAAAGCAGAAGGCCATAACTGTTGGAAGAAATAAGTATCAGCCACTTGAAGGGGAAGGGAGCACAGTTGGTTGTAATGAGGTGGCTAGGGAAGGGGACTGGGAGGATTTTGGACTAAACAAGGACTTGTACTTTGAATTGTTCTTGATGTATGAAGACTAATTATTTGAGCATGAACTACAATCCTCCTTAAAAACAATTACATTGAATATCATTTTACCTTTAGAGAACTCTCATTAAAAATAGACAATTTCAGAATACGCGTACTTACATGCTGGCATTGCTGAGACTTCAGCTGTTACAATACTTCTTATTCCTAAATTTGATAATCCTCCTCGGATTAATCCACAAGTAAATGCCAAATACTGCAAGAGGTAAAATGACAGTTACATGAGCCACTGTGCACATCTTCCTTAAAAAAAAAAAAAAAATCAACAAAAACCTCTCTTTAAAATTATACGTACATTTAATGTATTCTATACATGTTATTTACCTGTAAAAGGTCCCCTTGTGTAGGCATTCAAAAGCCATGAGATGGCTACTCATCTCTGCCATCTTGGATGTGATGCCAGCTGTTCTAACAGACTCCAAGCTATCAATTAAGTGACACTCTATTCAGTATTCTCCTTCTCCTCCTCCCCTGGCAACTGCATAAAAGGTTATGCAGGGAGACAAGGAGAGAGGGGAAGGAGCTGGGTCAGCACAGAAAGTAATCAGACACTCCCGATGAAGAGTTGTCCTGGAGTAGTAACATTTTCCGGCAAGTGTAAAGGTACATTGAAAGTGAATAAAAAATAATTTAAAGAAAGGAAAAACACTGCAAGTAAGCATTTAAAATATCTGTTATTTGTGTGCCCTTGCCCACATTTTTTAAGTTAGTGACAGGGTCTCATTAAAAGATATTTAACAGTCACAATGTAATCACAAAAGCATTGGTTTTTGCTTTTAATAGGAAAGTATTTGAAAGTAATGTATTCTCAGCAGACAAAACAACACGCTAACCTCATTCAAAAGATAATCTAGCTAGAAAAACGGTCTAGGATGGCCATAGCAACTAATCAGGTTCTATTATTACATCTCCTGGGGCAGTCTGGGAGAGTATTAAGAGTGGTTAAAGGGATACTCAAACCAAAACTTTGTTTCCCATCTTGGACAGAATACAGAAGAGTTGGTTCTGACAGGCTTTTACTAATGTCTGTGGCGATTTTCCTCAGGTTCTGTCCTCGTGATAACTGGTGACCAGGACAGAAAGTGATGAGATATATCTCAAATCTGCACATAAACAGCAATAGGCTTTAAACCTTTCCCACTCTTTTTTAAAAAATAAGCTGGAGTTCCACTTTAATTTGCTATAGAAATGTTCAATAATATGTATTCTCTAAATGCATGTTCATTAAAAACACACATTATTATTGAATGCATAGACAGATCCATAAAATGGGATTATTCCATTGCAAATAATTTAGTATTTTGCCTTAAATGCTTGTTTACTGGGCGGATATAACATTGAATGGGATTTCCTACTATTCTGGATACTTGCACATAATCCTATGTTATGGATACTTCCTCTAGCTCCTTTGAAAGTTGTGGGTCTGTCTTTGCAAAGTTACATATGAGGAATGTGTCAGACGGCATATGCACACTTGGATATAAATATAAGAATAAAAAAATGAATCTGCGCTCTTTTGTATAGTTCCCTTTTACTCATGATGGATTTGGAACTTTACCTTGTTACATGATGCAAGAGAAGGGAAGAGGGTTACGATGATTCGGACTTTAAAAGTGCCAATAATAACAAAACAAAAAATTACAGAATTTATTTCAGTCATTTAAAATAAACAAGTATAACATATACACTTGAGTGTTTAACCACTTCAAGTCCGGACACTTTCACCCCCTTCCCGTCCAGGCCAATTTTCAGTGCTATCACACTTTGAATGACAACTGCGCAGTCATGCAACACTGTACCCATATGAATTTTTTAGCATTTTTTTTGAGACAGATAAAGCTTTATTTTGGTGGTATTTATTCACCACTGTGATTTTTATTTTTTTTGCTATGTAAATGAAAAAGTCCAAAAATTTAGAAAAAAAGTGTTTCTTATAATATTTTGCAAATAAATAATATTTCATCATAAATCTTGGCCAAAATGTATTCCGTTATCTTTTTAGTAAAAAAAAGAAAAAAAAAAAACCCAAATTAATTTATAACCAAAAATTATAATTTTTAAACTTTTGTTTCACATTTTTATATATTTTTTTTTTTATACATACTGTCACCCTAGCAGTACAGTGTACTACTTGTGATGGGTGATTTTTTTTTTTACACTTATTGTTTTTACACCCATAAAGGCTGTAAAAGCAACCAATGCATTCTTGCAGCCACTGAGAACTACTGTGTGAGTTGTGATTGGTCACAGCTTGTCACATGGTACAAGGCTGTTTTGAATAGCCTTGTACCATGTGACCTCCGGACACAGCGGGCACCGGATCGCGGTGCTGCGCAGTCCCAGGGAGCGCGCACAAGCAGGGGGCGAGGAGGCCGTTTATAAACGGCAACCCGCCCCTGCACTGCCACCGTCCGGCCGTTTATATGCAACGGCCAGATGGGAGGTGGTTAAACTGGGTAGTAGTACTGGTTACAATAATCTGAATCCGATGCATTGCTTCTCAACAAGTTTCGCCTATTTAAGAGCTTCTTCAGGAGATAATGAATATAGCACCTATAACAATGGAACATGTAAATTACAAAATAATACCAATTAACATATCCAATGAACAAGGCATTGAATAAATAAAAAACACATACAAATAAAAGAAGAATATGTATATAACAAACATTAAATCTATGAAGGGCAACTTACCAGCAGATGCATAACTGGCTCATTTAATTGTGATGTCTGTAAAACCATTAATGAATAGTTTAAAAGGAACAAGGTTCTTTCATTCAATCAACCTGGATGTGAAGACATCTCAAACAGTAGGTGTTTGCCCTTCATCGAATAATGTTTATGTTATATACATATTCCTCTTTTCTTGGTATGTTTTTTTTTTATTTATTCAATGCCTTGTTTATTTGATCTGTTAATTGTTATTTTGTAATCTACATGTTCCATTGTTATGGGTGCTATATTCATAATTTCCTGAAGAAGCCTGTAAATAGGTGAAACATGTTGAGAAGTAATGCACTGGATTCAGATTATTGCAACCAGTACTACTACCCAGGTTAAACACTCAAGTGTATATGTTATACTTGTTTATTTTAAATGATTTAAATAAAGGTTGTATAAAAAAAAAAAAAAAGTTGTTATTATTGGCACCTTTAAAGTCCTGATCATCTTTGTCATGTTTCACATGACTGTCATATGCCTTTAAGTGTTCTTTGTATTTTGTCTCTGCTCCTCCCTTTCCTTTGGTTTAGTTCATGCTGTATAGATAGCCCCACCCTTTTGTTCATTTTCCCAGTAATACACCTCAGCTTCAAGCCTCATGTCATGAAGCAGATCACATTATGATCTTTTGACCAATCCGATGTGCATTGTTGTAAGATTCTCTCAGTTTATGGAATAAACGTCCCAAGATCTACAATATGTCATCTGGATCGAGTCACTGCCTGTGTTATTCAACTAAGATTGTTATTGCCATCTCATCACATCTGTAAGTTACAGAGATCACACTTTCAATGCTTAGATTGGAGAGACAGAACAATCTGCTTTTTTCAGTGAGGAGTTCATTCTCCTCTTCTTTATCTTTTCTTTGTATCCCTCCTCCCTTCCCTTGCATCATGTTGCCATTTGGGATGTAGGTGCCTTTGAGCTCCCCTCTGAATCTTTGTATTTCTGTTTTTCCCCTTGTTACACTTTAATATATTGTACCATTGCACTATGTATTGAAAAAACTTAAAGAAAAACCCCCTAAAGAAAGTCTTTGTAAAAGAAAAACATTAAAGGGTAGAGGGGAAGGTGGAACCGCCTACGTGCCGAAAAGAACAATACATTTATAGTGAAGAGTAGCTTCTCTTTCATTGTTTGAATATTAGAAGTGAAAAGACACTCTACGTGGAGTGAGAAGGCTTTGCCATTGGGGCCTATGATGAATAGGGCAAGAATGCACATTACTTCATGGTCCTGCTGACTCAGAGGTCAGTACATAACCCAGCCAGGTCAGGGCCGCAGCTCCAGCATCAGGTCACCAGCAAATCTCAGGGGTATACAAACCCTGGGAAAGCTGAAATGGAGCTGCTACTTTACTTTAGATAGAGATTAACCACTTCCAGACCGGACACTTTTACCCCCTTCCTGTCCAGGGCAATTTTCAGCTTTCAGCGCCATCACACTTTGAATGACAATTGCGCGGTCATGCAACACTGTACCCAAATGAATTTTTTACCATTTTTTTGAGACAGATAAAGCTTTATTTTGGTGGTAGTTATTCACCGCTGGGATTTTTATTTTTTTTTGCTATGTAAATGAAAAAGTCCAAAAATTTTGAAAAAAAGTGTTTTTTTTAAATAAAATTTAGCAAATAAATAATATTTCATCATAAACCTTGGCCAAAATTTACTCCGTTATCTTTTTAGTAAAAAAAAAATCCAAATTAGTTTATAAGCAAAAATTATAATTTTTAAACATTTTTATATTATTTTTTATTTGTATTTTTTTTTCTACATACTGTCACCCTAGCAGTACAGTGTGACACTGTACTACTTGTGGGGGGTGATGAAGATTTTTTTTTTTTTTTTTTTACATGGTATGCTTTTACACCCATATAGGGTGTAAAAGCAATCATTTCTCTTTCTCTCTGTGTGCATTTTTGCAGTCATTGAGAAGTACTGAGTGAGCTGTGATTGGTCACAGCTTGTCACATGGTACAAGGCTGTTGTGAATAGTCTTGTACCATGTGACCTCTGTGATCATTCACAGATTTCACACGTAGTAAGCAATGATGTCACAAGTGACATTTTGCTTACTACTTTGCATGTGATCACTGATTGGCCAATCAGTGATCACATGATCGGGACCTCGTACAGAGGTCCCGTCCGACGATCAGTGTTTCACTGTGTCCAGAGGACACAGCGGGCACCGGATCGCGGTGCTGCGTGCTCCCAGGGAGCGCGCACAAGCAGGGGGTGGGGAGGCCATTTATAAACGGCCACCCGATCCTGCAGTGCCACCGTCCGGCCGTTTATATACAACTGCCGGTCGGGAAGTGGTGAAACTATCATTGAATACTTCAGTGGTTCATTTTTTTTTGTTAATTCATGATTTTCAATTAAATGACAATTGTATGAGTGTGACCTCCTAACAAACTTAAAACCATTGCTCAAAACTGGGTATTGTGTACATTATGTAAATTGATTTGATTACCGAAATAAAATTATAAAAAGGTTGAGCATCTGTCCTTAAAATGTTTTTTTTTGTTCCAGCAAACACAGAATGTTTTCCATTATCAAACTGCCACAAAGAGCTTTTTAACAAGAGAGAGAAACAAAAAGGGAAAAAACAGGAAGAGAATAAGATCTGCTTGTTTTTCACAATAATCTATAATGTTGGTGAACAATTCTAACTGCACTAAAAAGGTAAACCTGACCGAGCCTAAAATATTGCTAAATTTATATCAGTGCTGCCACCATGTGGGGTTTGCAAGTACCAACGTCAGACCTCGAATTGAGCCTTTAGTTCCTGTTTAGCTGCCCTGGTATCTAGGCCCTGGATGAATATATGGCTTTAACCACTTCAAGTCCGGACACTTTTACCCCCTTCCTGTCCAGGCCAATTTTCAGCGCTGTCACACTTTGAATGACAATTGCGCGGTCATGCAACACTGTACCCATATGAATTTTTTAGCATTTTTTTGAGACAGATAAAAAAAACCAATAATTTTGGTGGTATTTATTCACCACTGGGATTTTTATTTTTGTTTGCTATATAAATGAAAATGTCCAAAGTTTTGAAAAAAAGGGTTTTTCTTATAAAAGTTTGCAAATAAATAATCTTTCTTCATAAATCATGGCCAAAATGTATTCAGCTATCTTTTTGGTAAAAAAAAAAAAAATTTTCTTTTACATTATTTACTTTTTTAATATTATTTATTTAACATATTGTCACGCTAGCAGTACAGTGTCACCATAGTGAACTACTTGTGGGGGGTGATGAAGATTTTTTTTTTTTTTTTCCACACACTGATTACTTTCACACTCATAAAGGCTGTAAAAGCAATCATGTCTCCTTCTCTCTGGCTGCATTCTTGCAGCCATTGAGAAATACTGTGAGAGCTGTGATTGGTCACAGCTTGTCACATGGTACAAGGCTGTTGTGAATAGCCTTGTACCATGTAAACTCTGTGATCATTCACAGATTTCACATGTAGCAAGCAATGATGTCAGAAGTGACATCTTGCTTACTACTATTCATGTGATCACTGATTGGCTAATCAGTGATCACATGATCGGGACCTCACACAGAGGTCCCGTACAGTGATCAGTGTTCCGCTCCTGCACTGCTCCAGTCTGGCCGTTTATGTACATGGGCTGGACAGGAAGTGATTAAAGACTAAGTTCACCATTTGTAAAAATAAATAAATTCACATTTTTTTTTTTACAGAGAAAAATAATGTGCTTTTATTATTTTTTAACCTTGACATCCTGTAAAGCATTACACTTGTGATCAGCAGATTGCAGGTGCAATGCCAGAATCTTGCAGACTTTCAGTCAGCGGTTTGCCCGTACCTCCCATATGAGCAGACAGTTATTGTAGAAAGAATCAATGAACTAAGACAGCGCTCACCAGCACCCTCACAGTTCATTGAGAACTACAAGCCATCTGCTGCAATGGAAGATGGTACTTGTAGTTCATTCATTCACAGGAAACTATGAATGAATGACATGGCCACATGGGAGAAGCACCGCACAGCCACATTGTTTTTGAATTGTGATAGTAGGTGCAGGGAGAGAATCCCCTGTCACAATGAGGAATCAGGGGAGGGGGTCTGGGCAAGTGCTCTTTGGTAACATGTTACAGCCCTAAAAACAGGTGTAACCAAAGGTGAACTTTTCCTTTAACTTCTACTCAAACTGAGATGAAGCCACACTCCTCCTGATAAGCAATGCCCCGTCATACAACTGTTAGGCCACATAGATACGGGCGGTTTGAGGCATTGAGCGTAAACTGGGGCCAATCTGGTGAACTACACTGCAAGAAGTATGCAGATAGGAGAAGACAGAGAGATGAGGCCATCAGTCTGCTTCTGCTCCTTTCATTGTCCAGTCACAGAATGGGGTGGGAAGGGGACCTGTAAGTAAAAATAAAACTGAGTCAGATTTGTCTAAACCTCATGGCTGGGTGGTCAAATATTCAAATCATCTGGTATGGTAAACAGCTCCTATATATTGGTTTAAGGCAGTTGTGCAATGGTTTTTCACAGAGCAGCCCCAATCCTCTTCTCAAACCCCTGATGGCACTCCTGGCTCCTTCCCCGTCGAGTGCCCCATAACAAGCCACTTGCTATAGAGATAATCATGTTGGCTAGCTCCCGGGAAGCATTCAATATTTCTATATGGAGTGTGGCTCAGCCCTGTTCACTCCTGGTGGGGGGAGCTGCAAACAGAAGGTTTTTTTAACCCTAAAAAGGAGAAGTAAAGCTAAATCTATTTTGGCTATACTTCTATGGATCACAGGAGTACAGTTCGTTTTGCAATCCTGTGACCCGTTTTCAGCTGACATCACAGAGCCGGTCCAAGCTCTGAAAACATTCCAACCATATGGTCTGGATCCACTAAGATGCCTGGACCAGCACCTGGTTCAGCCTCTCAGCAATCAGCCTGAGTAACTCCCTCCTGACTCAGCACAGCCCACCACTTCAGTGAACACTGGAGTGACAGTCTCCGGCTCTCTGCTCAGAGCGGAGGAGAGAATGGAGTGATCAGCGGTGTTTGATCGCTCAGTATCAGACTGATGCTGCATCCACCCAGGTGAGTATAAATGTTTATTTTTGTTTTTTAGGTCCATTCTTCTCTTTTAATGCATTGAATGCATTAAGGTAAGAAATCAAGCTTTACAACTACTTTAAATCCTGCAATAAACTATAGGATTCAATATATTAGAAGCCATTTTCAATATCATATTGTTCGACAGAAATTGCAACCATTTATCAGTAGTAATTAGGTGAGACACAAAAGGTTGCTCAGTAAAAAGATTACAAATAAGTGCAGCATTTACTATGTACAGAGAAAATCAGGCCTGAATTGACGTTTACCTTAGGTACATGTTCCAAATACTGTTTCCCTGCAGACATCTGAGTTATAAGGCGGAATTTGTTGTCCTGAAGAACATAGATTCCCTAGGACAAAAAGTGTCATGATAAGCAGAGATATGAGAACACACAAACATTATACAACATATGGGAATTGGTTAGAGTGGAGATGTATGGGCTTACACAAGAACTACAATTGTGTTAATCACATTGTACAGTAATACTTATTTTACAACTGAGCACATTAGATACAAATCATCAAGGCTCCTGAATGTCATTGCACAAAAAAAAACTTCTAGCACCAGATTTGGAATGTTTTTTTTGTTTTTTATCAAGATAATAGAGAAAATGTTTATTGTCAAGATAATAGAGAAAATGGAACAGTACTTACAGAATCCACAATGACATTACTGCATCAGCAGGATTACACATATATAGAACAACGTGAAGACACAGATCCCGTAATGGATAGAATCACAGAAATGGTAATAAAACAAAACAGACACCACAAGGATCCAAAACGTTCTTGACAATACCTTACTTTTTCCTTTTTATTCCTTCCCGTCCGGATGTAAACAGAAATGGGGGAAAGGAACAAAGCCCAAAACATGCCTTCAAACAATAAACCCCCCCCCCCACCCCCCCCCCCCCCCCCCCCCATCAACAACAGCACTTCAGCCTGGTAGTACTAGGGTCGTTAGTTCGAATCCCAACCACGGCACCCCCTGCCTGGAGTTTGCATGTTCCCCCTGTGCCTGCCTGGGTTTCCTCCAGGTACTCCGGTTTCCTCCCACACTCCAAAGACATGCAAGGAGGTTAATTGGCTCCTGTCTAAATTGGCCCTAGTATGTGTATGTATGAATGTGAGTTAGGGACCTTAGATTGTACACCCCTTGAGGGTTAGGGACTGATGTGAATGTACAACATATATGTAAAGCTCTGCGTAAATTGACAGCACTATATAAGTACCTGAAATAAATAATAATAAACAACAACCTCTGGTTCACCCGAGACATCACATCAGAAAGAACGGGAGATGCACATGATCTCCCCCAAGGGAAGGAATGGAGCCACACACCTGATATAAAATATCACACCTGCAAAAGTCGGTCCCCTATCAATTGAGGAGCGAGCTCAGGTGTATCCAGCCAACCCTGCCATACCTGCTGGAACTTATGGGAAGCATTGCGATGTTGGTATGGGAGTTTTGCAATAATGTTTCTTAAAGTGGAAATTCACTGCAACTGAGCAGCACAAACCAAAAACAAAATGTAATTCGTTTTTAGTATTCAAAGCAAAGTCACCCATCCATCCACATCTGCATGCTTAATTTGCTAAGAAATCCCCCCCATCATTTCTAGTTGTGGCCAACTTGAGTAAGGTCAGATGATTCATGTAGCATTTACCTCCTAGAATCCATCTGCCCTTAGCTCAGGCATACAGGCAGGAGAGTGAGCTTAGCTGAGAAAACCCCCTCCTCCCCTCCTGAAGACTCCTGGGATGTATGATATCATTTGCCTGGGCCTAGAAACAAGGAAATAACTGAAGAAAAAGAAAAATAGCTAAAAAGTAAATATGATACACTTTCCTATTACGAATGCTAGCAGAATAAGGATTAAAAATAGTCAATGTTGATTGAGAGAGTGAGGTTCTGTTTTAACATGTACTAGATTGTAAACTATTCTTGCCTAAGGCCCATGTCAGATTGGTGATCCTGTCACTGGTGTCAACTTGCCAATGACAGGATTATTAAGACAGCAGAGACAACACTTAACTGTTCCTATAGCATCGCTCTGTTACTGGCAAGACTACTGGCATGTTGCTCCATTGCTGCTCCCTAACTGGGGAGCAAGATTTTGTAGTATTTCAGCCAGCAAAGGATGGGATGCCATGAGAGTAGGTGTGAGTGTTCTCTCTGCTCTCTTTAGTGATCCTGGCAATGGCCACCAGCAATAGGATTGCTAGTGATGATATGGTCCTAGAAGCAGACACCAAAAAAAGCCTGCTATTACATTCCCCGAAAAGGCTCTTCAGTCCCCCACACCCCTTTATTTTCATTTTGTTACTGATGTCTTATTATCCCTGAATTCATAGCTAAACTCCATCAGCTCCCAACCCTGTCCAAAGGAACTGCCCTTACTGGCTGCTGAGGCAGTCTCACTGGACAATGGAAGAGCGGCTGGCAGGGTGCAGCCCAGTAACACTGAAACCAAATCAGTGAGGAGCACAGAAGATGCTTTTCTAAGAATGATAACACGTGGCATCTTGCTGTGCCTATCCTTAGGCTGGCCATACATGGGTCGAAATTCGACCGATTTTTCATCCAAAAATAGGAACTAAGAATAATCGGATGATTTTCGCTCTGTTATTGGGTCAATGGCACCAGCCAATTTTTGTGGTTCCTCCCCTTTTCGGTGATTGGGCATGTTGGAAAATTCGTGAAAAACGACCGATTTTCGACTCAATGATGGTCAAATCGTACGATCATTTTTCCAAAACGAATATGCGCATGAGCCGTGACCTGGAAGGAACAGAAGTTTCGCCTGTTATATGGGGTGAACTTTATGACTTGGTCGGCCGATTTTCAAAATCATTGATGGCTCCATGGGATTACCGAGCGAATGACGTTTTTGATTTTTGGACGAAAAATCGTTCGGAATTCGAACCATGTATGGCCTGCATTAGCCATATTTATTTTAACTACTTGTCTACTGGACAAATTCTGACCCTTCTCACATACATGTAAAAATCAGCATTTGTTTGCTGGAAAACTACTTAGAACCCGCAATCACTATACATTTTTAGGCAGAGGCCCTAGAGAATAAAATGGCGGGTGTCGACATTTTTTATTTCACACAGTATTTGTGTAGTGGTTTTTCAAATGCAAATGTTTTGGAAAAATACACTTTAATGAATTTTAGTGAACACAAACACAATATAATACCCAATTTTTGGTAAACTATAAAATAATATGTTACAATGAGTAAATAGACACCTAACATGTCACATTTAAAAAATGCGTGCGTCTCTGGAACGACGCCAAACTTTGGTACATAAAAATCTCCATAGGAGAGGCTTTAGAAGCCTTTACATGTTACCAGTTCAGAGTTACACAGGAGGTCTGGTCCTAGAATTGTTCGCAACGATACCTCACATGTGTGGTGCGATCACCATTTACAAATGCGTGCGAGACTTACGTATGCATTTGCATTTGAGAGTGAGCATAGGGGGACTGGGTCACTTTTTTTTTTTCAAATCAATTTATTTTATTTAAAACCATTGCTTTTTACACTGCCCCTTTCTTTATTTTTTAAATCAACTTTATCGCCATCACAAGAGAGATGAACAACATCCTTTATGATACAAAAATAAGCATGAAGAGATCTGGGGTCTATTAGATCTCTCCTCTGGTCTCCAAAGCAGCCGATCAGACACAGATCGGTCTGACCAACTGCTTCACTGGCCGGTAACTGAACCGAAATTGGAAGTGATGAAATCCTCGTTGCTTCCAGTTTCTGACCTCACAGAGAGGGACGAACGTCAGTTCCTCCCTCTCGATGTAATGCAGCTGATACCACCAGTCGGATCGGTCCCAGGCTCAATAGGACAGAAGAGCCCAGGAAAGGTGGTGGTGTGCGGGGGGGGCACCCACTTTCCTACAGCCATTCAAGTCAGAAGCAGTATCGGCTGCTGAAAATTTTAATACCGGGATGATGCCTGTAATTGTAGGTATCCTCCCGATACAACCACTTAAATCTGGCAACGTCATATGAAGTCCTCCCAGGGAAACTAAAAGAATTTGGAACCTTGTCTTCTATTTGTAAGCACAGGTGTCTGCACTGAAGTGTATAAATCAGCTCCCAGCACAACAATGCAGACTTTCCATTAATAAATACATATGTAAGTGCAGGGGCGGACTGACAACTCATGGGGCCTCCGGGCAATAGGGGATCATGGGGTCCCTAAATCCTCACCCACACTCAAACCACACCCAAAAAAAGCCTATGAAAAGATACCAGGGGCATCTCATGGGGCCCCCTACTGACCCTGGGCCTTCGGGCAGTGCCCGAGTTTCCAAATGGTCAGTCCTCCCCTGTGTAAGTGTCTCTGCCCTCACTGGCCAACTAAATTCTACCTGCTACCTGTCTACAAAAATTGCAAACAACAACTTCTGCAGCTCTAATCTAACTACTCAAAGCAGAGTTCCAGTCAGTTTTGTGTTTTTTAAAAGTCAGCAGCTACAAAAACTCTAGCTGCTGACTTTTAACCTCTTTCCGTCTGGCCCATGCCGATAAATGGCCAGACGGGAGCACTGCTGATGCGGGGGGACGTTGCTAAACATCCCCCCGCATCCATTGCCTGTGCACGCTGCTTGGGAGCGCTTGGCACCGCGATCAGTGCCCGGTGTGATCGCACAGAGGTCCCGATTCATGTGATCATTGATTGGCCAATCGGTGATCACATGAATAGTAGTAAGCAAGATGTCACTTCCTGACATCATTGCTTACTACGTGTGAAATCTGTGAATGATCACAGAGGTCACATGGTACAAGGCTATTCACAACAACCTTGTACCATGTGACAAACTGTGACCAATCACAGCTCTCACAGTATTTCTCAATAGCTGCAGGAATGCAGACAGAGAGAAGGAGAAATTATTGCTTTTACAGCCTTTATGGGTGTAAAAGCAATCCGTGTAAAAAATCACCCCCCGCAAGTAGTACAGTGTCATGGTGCAAGGGTGACAGTATGTAAAAAAAAAAAAAAAAAAAAAAAAAACAAATAATAAAAAGAAAAAAAATGTAAAAAACATTTTAATTATTTTTGGTTATAAACTAATTTGGGCATTTTTTTAGATAGATGAATACATTTGGCCAAGATCTATGAAGAAAGATTATTTGCAAAATTTTATAAGAAAAACACTTTTTTTCCCAAAATGTTTGGTCTTTTTCATTTATATAGCAAAAAAAATAAATATCCCACCAAAATAAAGCTTTATCTGTCTATAAAAAATTCTAAAAATTTCATATGAGCAGTGTTGCATGACTGCGCAATTCTCATTCAAAGTGTGATAGCACTGAAAGCTGAAAAGTGGAAGTGTCCGGACTTGAAGTGGTTAATAAACACACACTTACCTGTCCCAGGGTCCAGCCATGTACTCACCCGCACCATCTCTTCTTCTCTCCCCAGCGCTGGCATCACAACTGTGGGCACCAGGCTGTGACAGCTTGCGGCTTCACAGCCAGGTGCCCACTGCACATGCACGAGATGTGCTGCGCATTCTAATTGGTCTGGCAGTCTTTTGGGACCTGTGAAAGTCCCCAGGAGACTGCAGGAGGAAGGAGGGGGCCAAAAGTGGGAGCAGGTACCTGTCAAAAACAGGTATCCCCTCCCCTACTTAAAGGTGCCCATTGTGGCAGTGGAGGGGAGGAGGCGGCAAACAAGCGGAGCGTCCACTTTTGAGTGGAACTCCACTTTAATAATAATACAAGATACCTTTTATAGCATTTCATGTTAATAACCAAGTGAATTAACCACTTGTCCTCCAGAAAATTTACCCCCCTTCCTGACCAGGTCTTTTTTGCTATTCAGCGCTGTGCTAATTCAACTGGTAATTGCGCAATCCTGTACCCAAACAAAATTGATGTCCTTTATCTCACATAAATAGAGCTTTCTTTCGGTAGTATTTGATCACCTGTGCGCTTTTTATTTTTTGCGCTATAAACAAAAAAAGACCAAAATTAAAAATAAATAAAGTTTTACTTTTGGCTATATAAAAATGTATAAAAAACTCAAAGTTAGTCATAAATTTAGGCCACAATGTATTCTGCTACATGTTTTTGGTAAAAAAAATCCCAATAAGTGTATATTGATTGCTTTGTGTGAACGTTATAGCATCTACAAACTATGGTATAGATACTGCAATTTACGTCATTTTTAGCTATACGGCGCTGCGCTAGTTTAACGGACAATTGCGCGGTCATGCAATACTGTACATAAATGAAATGTATGTCCTTTTTTACACAAATAGAGCTTTCTTTTGGTGGGATTTGATCACCTGTGCACTTTTTACTTTTGGCGCTATAACCAGAAAATTTTGAAGAAAAAAATGTTTTTTGAAAAAAACAATATTTTCTCATTTTGGTCATAAAAAATATCTAAAAAAACTAAAATTTCATCATAAATTTAGGCCAAAATGTATTCTGCTACATGTTTTTGGTTAAAAAAAATCCCAATAAGTGTATATTGATTGCTTTGTGTGAAAGTTATAGCGTCTACAAACTATGGTATAGATAATGGAATTTACACAGCTTTTACTTTCTGACTGCCCATCACATCTCTTGAGGTGCTAAAATACCAAAATAGTACAAACACCCTCAAATGACCCCTTTTTGGAAATTAGACACTCTAAGCTATCTGCTGAGAGGCATATTTTTTTTTGTGTGCTATAAACAAAAAATACCGAAAAATTTGGAACCCCCCCCGATATTTTCTCATTTCTGTCATAAAAAATATCCCAAAAGTTCATATTTCATCATAAATTTAGGCCAAAATGTATTTTACTAAATGTCGTTGGTAAAAAAAAAATCCCAATAGATGTATATTAATTGGTTTGTGTGAAAGTTACAGCGTCTACAAATGGTGGTATAGATATTGGAATTTACGCCATTTTTTGCTATACAGTGCTGCACTAGTTTGTGCTTTCATGCAATACGGTACATAAATGAAATGTACACACAAATAGAGCTTCCTTTTGGTGGTATTTGATCACCTCTGGGTTTGGTTTTTTTTTGTGCTATAAACAAAAAAAGACTGAAAATTTAGAAAAAAAAAAAAAAAATACAAAATATTTTCTCATTTTGGTCATAAAAAAATATCCAAGAAAAACCCTTAAATTTCATCATGAATTTAAGCCAAAATGTATTTTGCTACATGTCTTTGGTAAAAAAAAATCCCAATAAACCTGCATATTAATTAGATCTGATTGGTTTGCATCTACAAACTATGGCATTGATACTGGAATTTACACATCTTTTATTTTCTTACTGCCTATCACATTTCTTGAGGTGCTAAAATATCAGGCCAGTACAAAACACTCCCAAATTACGCCTTTTCAGAAAGTAGACACCCTAAGCTATCTGCTGAGAGGCATGTTAAGTCCATGGAAGATTTTTAGTTTCCACAAGTTTTTGGAAATTTGTTTTTTTTTTTTTTTTTACACGAAGTTGCCATTTAAATTATTTATTTCTCGCACAAGCCATGGGTATATGTGGAATTACACCCTAAAATACATTCTGCTACTTCTACCAAGTATGGGGATACCACATGTATCAGACTTTTTGGGAGCCTAGCCACATACAGGAGCCTGAAATCCAATGACCACTTTGAAAGCCTGAAAGTTCCTCATTTCCTCACAGTTTCGGAGTCCCTGAAATGCCAGGATAGCACCAAACACCCCCAAATTACCCCTTTTTGAAAAGTAGACACCCCAAGACAGCATGGTGAGTATTTTGCAGATCTTATTTTTTCTTTCACCGTGCCGCCTTGTAGCAGTATTTCTGCTATAGGGCAGTGCAGAAATGGTGTGTAAATATATATATTTATATACATACATATACACACACATATACATTGATTAACAGGGTTACATGCAGGGGCAGACTGACCATTTGGAAACACGGGCACTGCCCGAGGGCCAGGGGTCAGTAGGGGGCCCCATGAGATGCCCCTGGTACCTTTTTCATAGGTTTTTTTTAATTTGGGCAAGGACACAAGGGCCCCATGATCCCTTATTGCCCGGGGGCCCCATGAGTTGTCAGTCCGCCCCTGGTTACGTGTCACCTAGAATTCACACCTACACAAACTTGTTGTTTTTTTGTAATCTTAAAGTGGAACTCCAGAAAGAAAGTACTTTTAATTGTGATTGGTCTAGAGAAGCTATGTGTAATGCTTTGCCAACTATGTCCAAGTAGCAGCTTGAGATACTTAAAAAAAATAAATTTATACCAGCCATTCACAAAAAACCTTGTTTTCTTTAAGTGGATCCGGTGTTTTCTGTGAATGCATGAGAGGAGATCCCATAGTTCCTCCTCTCCACTCATTCAATCACCCTACTGAACAGCAGAGCTGATAGAGGGAGTTGGAGAAGCAGCACAAGAAGCCATGCAGATAGGAGACAAGAGCACAGTGACAGAGATGAGCTCCTCAGTAAGCTACCTCTCCTTTCACAGTCCAATCACATGGTGAGGGGGGAGAGGAGACCTGTAGGTAAAAGCAAAAAACTTCAGCAGAAAAAGATTAGGTCCCCTTCCCATCTAGACAGAACTTGCTGTGGAGCAAAGCTGTGTAAATGTTTTTCATGTATTCATTTAGTCGTTTGCCTGAAATTCAGCTTTAAATCGCTACATTAAGAATCTCTGGAGCGTTGGCTGCTACTATTCTGCATCTGGGCAGTTAAGAAATCTGAGAACTGTATATGTCTGCAAACCTCAGCACTTGGGTTTTCCACTTGTGTCTGACGTCGCTGGCTACCCAAACGGAGCATGCAATGTGTACTCTACAATCGAAGCACACAGACCAGGCTTCCAGTGGAAAGATACCCTACACGGATGATGTGGGCCCCTTATGTCTCACCTGGTGATTGGTCCGCAGATTGTCAATTTGCTTTCTGAATACTGTAGTCCAGAAGTCTTTGCAGACAAACTTCATGATGTCCAATTCATCTTTGAACCTTGCTGTGTCTTTGGTAAACCTGATAGGAACCATGAATCCATGTTAAGAATAAACAATTTTAGACAGAAGCAAGTTGCACTAGATGTAACAGTTTGATTTTACAGTGAAATAAGAAATCTGTTAGCTGTGAGACATTTGCTGAGAAGTATTAACCACAATCTAAGAATTCTTAGTAACGTTGGGGAAGCAGAACTATTGTTTTTTGCAGAATCAGTCATTGCTGACACCATAAAACCAGACTGTTTTTAATGTTCAAAGATCTCATTACTTAAATATATACTCTTACAGATGGCCTATACCAAATTAAAAAAGAAAAAAAGCGCCATTTACAAAAATCACCTAAGTGTCAGCAGCATATCCCACTCAAAATAAATTTTGTCAACAATAATCCTAATTAAAAGGTATGCGCTAATAACAAACATACAAAGGTGTATATCATCATCCAAAAAAAAAAAACATTTAGTTTTTTAAATAAATAATTATAGTGTCCAAACATAAGTGTCCAAAAAATATATATATATTAGTGTCCATCAAGGGTACCGCCCCTTGATGACGCCGGTGTGATGAAACCGGTTGGGTGTGGCCTACTTGATGTGGACGTTAGAGAGCCTTGCTGTTCTGTGCTGTATGGGAGAGATCTGCGGTGAGCGTTAATTGTATCTCACCTTTTTTTGCGATTGAAGCTGGTGTCTGTTGGACACCTTGTTTGTGAGTTTCCGTATACCTTTTTTATTAAAGAGATAAATGAAAAAAAACGTATTGCACCATTATGTTCTCTTTTTTGTCCCTGAGTGTACTGCATGCTCTCATGGAGGTATGAGAGAGTGGAGAAGTTCATCATAAGAGCTTGGACTGCAAAGTTGTTTGACTGTGATTATTATTATCTGGAAGTGTCTGAAACATCACCATATCTATTTGGACATCGGGTTCATTGCTCCCAGAGCACAAGCGCTGTTGCTGGTTTATAATCTGACCAGCCATTAGCTCTGGTGAGTTCATTTAATCTCCTTTGGTGGTGGATTTTTCACAATTGGTTCAAGTCACTGAAGATATATATATATTTTTGGACACGAATATATAATTTTTTTTTGGACACTAATTTATGTTTGGACACTATAATAATTTATTTAAAACACTAAATGTTTTTTTTTTTTGGATGATGATATACACATTCTTACAGATGGCCTATTCCGGCCTTGTGAGATCTCAGCAGAAACATATAAAACATTTCCAGTGCCTTAAAGTGGTAGGCAACTTAAGAAATTAAAATTCCTCTGACAGGCAGAATAAACCCTAGAGCGGGTCAACGGGTAATGTGATGTGAGCCCCACATGTGCAACTCAAACCACATCTATGGCCTGCTCTGCATGCTGCAGCAATGTGGCTCCTGTGCGCATGCGCTGGAGTGACATCACTGCTGCCCGGCCATTCATGCGGCTGAAGATTTTGAACCTGGAAGGAAGACCAGGTGAAGATGGAAGTGCTGGGGAGCCATAACAGTGCAGCACTGGAGTTATGGGTGGCCCCACTGTCACCACTCTGCCTGACATCCTGCAATCTGAAAATAGGCAGAACATTGTGACGCGAACATTGACTGCAGCCACTGTTAAGGTATTCCGACCGCCGTGGATGCCGGCTGTTATAACACAATAGCCAGCAGGGGAGATTCCTTCATCCAAACTGTTTAGCATGGTTGGGGGGAATCAATAGCCTGTGGAGCTGACTAAGGGCTCGTTCACACTTGACTGTTTTACCAACGCTTGCCAAATGCCCCTATAGCATTTGGCAAGCGTTGGTCCGGCGTTTGTGGAGCGTTTAACACTCCGCAAACGCCGCATGCGCGGTTTAGCGGTGGTTGCTAGGCGTTTGCCGATCGTTAAAAACGCCCCACAAACGCCTAGAATGAAGTTTGAATGGTGTTACCACTCGGCAAATGCCCCGCAACCGTGCCACAAACGCCAGCCGGGCGTTTGCGGAGCGGCAACATAGACAAGAATAGGAGGCTTCCACGCCTCCTGACTCGTCCAGAGGCGTCCGTTTTGCCGTGCCGCACCCACTCCCATTAGAACAGCACCATGTGCTGCAATGTGCAGAATTGCCAGAGGCGTTTGGAAAGGGGTAAAAACGCTTCCCAAACGCCTCTCTGCCGTCTGCACACAACGCTAGTGTGAACGTAGCCTAAGAGAAATCTAAGAGTGTATGGCCAGCCGTAGACACAATATTGTAGCACCAGCATGCAGCAGATCTGAGCCCATAACATTAATACTAGTTTGGAGATGTACTTTGAATCTAAAACAATTACAATAATTATACAGACATCATGCTGGTTATAAATAAAGAGGCCTAGTTGCACTTGTGTTTACAGGTGGTGACAAAAAACAAATATGACATTTTACATCCCTGCACGTCCAACCTTGTAGTTCCATTAAATGATTAGGCCATTCACGACTGACATTTCAGTTTTTAGTGGATATTAAATGGTGAAACCAGCTTTCTAATCACTCTCAGAATCCCTATGGATGGGATTGTCTGCTCTTGAGTCTAGCTGTGCACATCATGGTTAGCACTTCCACCTGGCAGTACTAGGGTTGTTGGTTCGAAACCCAACCACGGCACCACCTGCCTGGAGTTTGCATGTTCTCCCTGTGCCTGCGTGGGTTTCCTCCGGGTACTACGGTTTCCTCCCACACTCCAAAGACATGCTGGTAGGTGAATTGGATCCTGTCTAAATTGGCCCTAGTATGTATATGTATGAATGTGAGTTAGGAACCTTAGATTGTAGACCCCTTGAGGGCAGGGACTGATGTGAATGTATAATATATATGTAAATCGCTGCGTAAATTGACGGTGCTATACAAGTACCTGAAAAATAAATAAATAAAATGTGCTGTCCCCATTTTCCTTGTTATATCATTTACTTCTTGTAAAATCTGGAGAATGGAAAAGGAGGAGCTGGAACATGGACAGGCAGAGAAGCCACAGAAGGGGGCAGAGATTTGAGATTAATAACAATGATATCTCACTGCTGGGAGTATACAAAACGTAGGGATTTCTAACAAACAGTAGTTTGACACTAGTGGAGTATCCAAGATGTATACAAGAAGCCAGAGGCTGACCTACCCAACCAGGTTTGGCATATCACTAAAAGATTTAGGTGGACTGACCCCCTTAACCTTTTCACTGCCAGAGCCATTTTTGCATAAGTTTAAAAAATTATTTCAGGCCAGAAGAGTACACAAACCCCCCAAACTAGTGGTGCACCTACGTATGTGTTCACCATTTAGTGTTTTTTTGGGGGGGGTTTTTTGCACTGTCCCTTTAAAAAAAAGTTAATTACTTTTATTCTTATCACAAGAAATGCATGCATCCCTAGTGATAGAAATAATTAGTGACAGGTCCGCTTTATGGAGAGATATGGGGTCAGTAAGAACCCACATATCTCCTCTGCAATGTAAAGCATTGGATCAAAAAAAAAAAAAAGTGACATCGCTTCGGTCCTCCAAGGGCAGAGATGAGTGGAGGCCATCTTTTCTTCACTTATCTCTATGCCCAGCGCTGGGATCGTTCGATGGTTTCTCAGGTAAGGCCGAGAAATACCGAGTGGTAGCCGGTGGCAGCAGAGGCAGGTGGGCGGCGGTGAGGGGCGGGGTTTGTTCGGCACCTGTATCGGTGCTTTTTTTTTTTTTCATTTTGGGAAATTTCAGTGCATCCCTACCCCAATCATTATATATTTTCTGAGAACAGACACACTATAGAATAAAATAGTGGTAGTTCCAATTTTTTTATGTCACACGAGATTACTGCAAAAGTCTAGGAAATGCAAAATTTCAGTAAAAAACACACTAAAAGTAAATGTTAGGGCAAACAAACAATAAAAAATTACCCCAACTTTTGGTAAAATATAAAAGATGAGGCTACGCTGAGTAAACAGATACCCAACATGCCAAACCTTAAATTTGTGTTCACCTGTGAGATGGCGACAAACTTCAGTACCCCTTCAAGACGATTCAAAAGCCTCTACAGGTGATCAGTTTAGTGTTACGGGAGAGATCTTGTGATAGAATTATTGCTCGTACTTCGGTGTGCGCTCCGATATTTAACATTTGTATTGCAATCAATCTTTTCATGCGTAGCTGCCCCGATGTGTACATTTATGTTTGTACATGCATATATGTAGGAGTGAGGGGGGGTGGGGCAAATTTTTTGGGGAGAGATCAGGGGTGGACTGACCATTTGGAAACTCGGGCACTGCCCGAGGGCCCGGGCTCAGTAGGGGGTCCCATGAGATGCCCTTGGTACCTTTTTCATAAGCTTTTTTGAGTTTGGGCAAGGACACGGAGGCCCCATGATCCCCTATTGCCCGGGGGCCCCATGAGTTGTCAGTCCGCCCCTGGGAGAGATGTTATGTGTTCGGGTGTAACTATTTTTTGCAATAAAAACAAAATTGTTTTTGCTTAAGTTTTTTTCCCCACCCATCACATAGTGGACACAAAGTCCCCTATATGATGATTTTTGGTGACAGGTTCTCTTTTTTTTTCTAATAGACCGTGCATGTCTCCTCTGGTCTCCATGAGATGTATTGCAATGCGAAAGGCTTAAAAGGAGAAGTATAGCTAAAGCTCTTTTGGCTATACATGTCCTATGGATCACAGAAGTGCAGTTAGTTCTACCCTCCTGTGACCCAGTTTCAGCTGACAGCAGGCTAAAGCCCGCTGTCAGCTGATGTCACAGAACCGGTCCAGGCTCTGAAAAGATCCCGACCATATTGTCAGGATCCACCCAGAACCCTTGACCTGCACTAGGCTCAGCCTCTCAGCGATTCACCAAGAGCCTGAGCCAGCCCCTCCCTCCCCACTTCACAGCCTGATGCTCAGGTGTGAGTTTAGGGGGGGCAGAGCGGAGAGCCAGAGAGTGACAGTCACAGCTCTCTGCTCAGAGCGGAACGGAGCGGAGAACGGAGCAATTGTGGTGTATGATTGCTCAGTTCTCTGTGCAGAGCCAGTGGGGGAATCGATAATGCATCCACCTAGGTGAGTATGTTTTTATTCTTTTTAATACCCCATACTTCTCTATTAAACTTCATCTGGTTCCAAAAACAGTAATTTCCAAATTTCACTCTGGTCAATAAGTCATATTAGTGCTTACCTCTCTATCAATCCTTGCCCCACACGAAAACCCATGTTCTCCAACTTGGTGATGCATTTTCCATTCTCCTGCAAGAAAAACAATGTAGCAACAGCTTTGTATAAAAATAAGATATTTCAAGAAATCTAATGTAGTTTTTAATCTATTATACACTATATGGCCAAAAGTGTGTGGACACCCCTCCAAATGATTGGGTTTAGGTGCTCCTCGTGACGAGGAATGAGGTGTAACTGCTACAACATAAAAAGATATGCAAGACAATAATGTGCTTCCAACTTTTTGACAACAACTTGGGAAGACCCTCTTCTTCCCCAGCATGAATGTGCTCCTGTGCACAAAGATAGCTCCATAAAGACTAGATTTGACCAATTTGGTGGGTTGGCGGGGAGAAACTCAAGTGCCCTGCACAGAACCCTAATCTCAGCCTTACTGAACACTAGAAGGCCAATGTAAGCTAGACCTTCATGTTCAACAGCAGAATAACAAGAACACATAGATCTTGTGCAATAAAATAGTTACACTTATTTAGTGTAAAAAAACAAAACAAAACAAAAAAACAAGGCAGAAGCTCAATCTCCCAGATGATCCAGCACTAGAGGAGGACAACCTGGTGGTGGGACCAGAATGATGTCCTAACGGCTGTCAAAAGGACTCCTCAGATAGGACCCACTCCAGAGCTCTCAGGGCAAGCAATGATCACCATCTCTTGACAGCACCTCCATGGGGAAGGGGAACGGCCTGTGTCAAAGTGAAGGACCAGGCAATGCTTTTTGAGGATTCTTCCTCTTTATTAAACCTTTTGTCTATCTTCAGTATCTGACCTCACAAATACTCTTCTAAAAAGAATCGTCACAAACTCCCACAGGCACTCCAAGATCTTGTGGAAAGCCTTCCCAATAAATCAGAGGCAGTTATAACCCCAATGAGGGCCAACTCCGGAATAATGTCCATGGTTTTGGAATGGGATGTCCAGCAAGGTCATATGGGTGTGTCCATAAAGCATTTGGCTATGTGTCTACACTTCTGCATTCACCGTGTACAGCAGTGGTTCTCAACCTGTGGGTCGCGACCCTTTCACAGGGGTTGCCTAAGACCATTGGAAAACACATATTTCTGATGTGTAAAGAGCAGCTCCTGTGTAGAAAGCAGCTACTGTGTTGAAAGCAGCTACTGTGCTGAAAGCAGCAGTATTGGAGGTAAAACAACACTTCATGAATGATAATTACTGGGTAAACAATTTTATGGTTGGGGGTCACCACAACATGAGGAACTGTATTAAAGGGTCACGGCATTAGGAAGCTTGAGAACCACTGGTGTACAGTATCAGTATACATTTAAAGTGGTATTAAACCCAACAGAAAACATTATATTGCAGCTTACCAATCCTTAGGTGTGATGGCTGCATTGGTTTTCTTTTTTCTGTTTCAATATTTTTATTAAGAAAGTTTTGTTTTAGGAACACAACAAGCTCAATATACGCCCACACAGGGGCCGAGCATAACAATAACACAGAATACATCCTGCTGACTTGTATTAGCCAAATAACAAAATGTCCAATGACAGCGAGGAAGGACGGCAAAAAGCCGAACTAAATATTATCAGCAGTAGTCCAACATAATACCATAAAGAGAAGAGGAAAGAAAAAAGGTTAGAAGAAAGGAAAAAGGAAAATAAAAAAAATGACAAAAAACAAAGAAAAGGAAATCAGAAAGAAAACAGAGGAAAGGGAGACTAGGAGAATCACAGATCCAGGGCTAGCACAGGCAGCAACTACAAGAGGCCATAACTAGTAGGAGGCAGGGATGGCAAGGAATATTGTATCCAAGGTTCCCAAACCTTAAGGAATCTTGGATGAGAATCATGAAGAACGCTAGACATCTGTTCATTGAACAACATAGCATTCATCCGGGTCTTCACCCCTTAGAAGACAACCGATGGAGTTCTCCAAGCCTGAGATATGGCACGTTTACCCAAAATAAATAGGTAGGATGTCAATTTCTGCTGAGACTTAGACAGACCCAAAATTGGGCAGTGCAGAAGAGACACCCTTGCATCCCTACGGACTGTAATGTGAAATAGCATTTGTAGCAAACCAAAAACCCTAGACCAGAAGCCTATCAATCGCGGGCACGACCACCAAATGTGTAAGACGTCCTCGCGTAGACCACAGTTCCGGAAACATCTATCTCCGACAGTCGGATTAAAGTGAGCAGTCCGAGCCGGGACCCAGTACCACCGCAGGAGAACTTTGCAGGCTGCCTCAAGAGTGACTGTATTAAATGAACATGTCGCCACCATCCCCCAGGCCCTACGCCAATCCTCCGCTGCAATCGAGCCACCCAGATCTCACTCCCATTGAGAGACATAAGACAGGTTGTGAGAAGGACCTACTGTTAAGGGTGGTTTTCTTTTTTAGGCTTTCTTTCCATCTGGTGATCTGGCCAGCAGGTCTGTTGTTTTTCAGAAAAACAAGCTCTCCTGTAGATGTACCAGTGTACAGGGATGAGACAAAGCATTTACCACTGACAGGGGTGCTTACAATGACTAGCTTTTATCTATGTAAAACCTTTATCACAAAAGGAATAAACTGGTTGCTGTACGTGAATAGAACGTATTAGTTGGAGTTTGGCTCCCCTTCTCCAAGACTGACAATGTTGTTGTTCCAAGGTGCCCCCTGTGCTCCTTCATCCAGGGTGGGGACACTCTAAGACAGGAAGTGTGTTACTGGCCAGATCACCAGCTGAAAAGAGGGAAAAAGTGTAAAAAAAAGAAAATGCAGCCGCCGCCACTGCTAATGACTGGTACGCTGCACTAGATTATGTTTTGGGTTTAATACAACTTCAAAGCTGTAAATTAGTCAAAAACAATGTTGGCCATTTGCACAGTAAACCTAAGCTGTAATGATGTGTGCGCCACCCCCTGGCTGCTGCACCATCTGATACATCTTACTTTTAGGTTCTGTTCATGCATACACATAGGGGGCAACAAAACTAGGCGGTTGAGCTGAAGTTTAACCGCCCCTTCAACCACCTGCTTGAATTGGGGCAGGAGCTGCAGCAAGTGGCATTCGGTGGGCGATATCGCCACTGGATGTGACCAATGCAGGTCTACCAGGAAAAGCCGCAACCACAAGCAATGCATGCGATTGTGGCACAGTAGTGTGGCATTTGCAAAGTTTAATCAGGCGGTGAACAGGATGAATGACTCCTCCTTGCCACCTGTTAAATGACCTCTAAGGGGTGATAGGAGTTGGATCATTCTTCAAAAAGGACTGCACATGTGAACGAGCCCTTACTCATGTTGCATGTTCTCCCTGTGCCTGTGTGGGTTTCCTCCGGGTACTCCGGTTTCCTCCCACACTCCAAAAAGACATGCTGGTAGGTCAATTGGCTCCTGTCTAAATTCGCCATGGTATGTATATGTATGAATGTGAGTTAGGGACCTTAGATTGTATGCCCCTTGAGGGTTAGGGACTGATATGAATGTACAATATATATGTAAAGCGCTGCGTAAATTGACGGCGCTATATAAGTACCTGAAATAAATAAAATAAATGTTGCAGTCTACATTTATGAAGTTAGACTGGATGTCGCTCCACTTCCTTAAACTGAACCTCTCCAAAATCAAGCTCCTCGTCTTCCCCCCAGCCTGCACACCACCCCCCACTGACTTCTCTATCACATCCAACAACGCCACCATCAAACCCACCCCACAAGCCAGAGTACTTGGTGTCATTCTGGACTCCAACCTATCCTTCCAGCCCCAAGTCCAATCTTTAACAAACTCGTGCAGACTCCACCCTCCACAACATCGCCAAAATCCGCACGTTCCTAACCCCAGAAACCACTAAACAGCTCATCCACTCCCTCATCATATCACGACTCGACTACTGCAACTCCCTCCTCACTGGCCTGCCTCGCCACAGGCTATCCCCGCTTCAGTCCATCCTGAACACGGCTGCCAGACTCATTCACCTTTCCAACCGCTCCGTTTCCGCCACCCCCCTCTGCCAATCCCTCCACTGGCTTCCGATCGCCCAACGGATCAAATTCAAAATCCTAACACTGACGTATAAAGCTGTCCACCATACTGCCCCGAACTACATCACTGACCTAATATCCAAGTACCACCCAACACGCACACTCCGCTCCTCACAAGACCTCCTTCTCTCTAACACCCTGGTCTCCTCCTCCCATGCCCGCCTCCTGGACTTCTCCAGGAGGTCACCCATCCTCTGGAACTCCCTGCCCCAACCCATCAGATTATCACCTACTCTCCTCTCCTTTAGGCTCACCATGAAAACCCACCTCTTCAGGGAAGCATACCCCACCCCCTGCTAACTTGCCAACCTCCTCCACTCTTCCTACCACTCCATCCCCCACAGCTATCTCCTCCTGTACCACTATCCCCTCCCTCCTAGATTGTAAGCTCCGAGGAGCAGGGCCCTCAATCCCCTCATGTATCAAATTGTATTGGTATTGTTCTGTCACATGTTCTGTCTCCCACTGTAATGTACAGTGCTGAGCAAACTGTTGGCGCTTTATAAATACTGTATAATAATAACAGTCTGCTGTCTGACCACCCAGCACTGAGATTTGTAGTCCCAGCTGCAGTACACAGATCATTGTGGGTCACTTGCTCAGCACCTCCTCCATTCAGTAAAAACCTTGCGTTCTTTTCAATTAAAGATGTGTCAGTATCTTTATCTTGTGCCAGTATTCAGGCCTCTTCATTGGCTGGTGTGGGATGACATCATTCCTGCGCATGCACAGGTGGCTGTCATCCTGGCACTCAGAGCCCAGCACAATGCTGTAAGGAGATCTGTGCATATGCAGTGCCGGAGGAGCCAGCGATCAGCCAGGTAGAGGCATTTTACTGAAGAGTCAGGGCATGTCTCAAGGTTTCTTACAGCGGACCTTTAATACAAGGCTTTCTGTGATTGGAGGAGGGGAGATTGTAATGTTCGCTCACACCTCCCCCAGTCATAGGGTGCCATGTAATCAATAAAAAGAACACCCGGCTTTTCTGAATACAATTGGCCTAAACATTTTCCACCATACTTCAGCTTTACACCTATATGGAAGACGCTGCAGATCGGGCATGGGTTCTGCTTCCACATTTCTGGTGTCTGGGTCCCTTTAAGAGAAGCAATGCTCTACGTCTTGTACCCAATACCTGCAACATGTCATGTTTGTAAATCCAGCCAGAAATAACACACAGGTGGCTCACCACACTCCCCCCTGCTCGCCCGACTTGTACACACAGGACACGATCTCATTGTGCAGCAGTAAGAAGAGAGCCTCCTCAGCCATGTCCTGCTTGTTCATGTGTTCTGCCGGCTGAGACGACTGACGAGCATGCGCACGGCGCTCGTGCCCGGTGATCGTTCTACAGATCCGCCACACACATCACATCAGCCTGACATCCTCCGCTCCGCGCGCGTCACTTCCGTTTCCGTTTGGAAAAACCAGCTGGCACAGCAGTAACCGTGGAAACCAGTACACTGTATATGTCAGGAGGGATGAGGCAGTGCAGGCAGAGAACATAGGGGTGTGACAGAGAGCTCAGGGGGCGGGACTTGGAGGCTCTGTAATTTACCTATTAATGTCCAGACTGCAACCTTCCCAATTGTTTTGTAACTGGCAGGCCCGGATCTAGGGGGCGCTATCCCCCCACCACCACCACCAGATTTTAGTTGTGCACCCCCATACCTCTGAGGGGGAATCCACAAATCAATGAGACCTGATAGGGTCAGTAAATGTAAGGGTGACTCCGATGGGGACAGTCGATGTAAGGGGGACTCCGATGGGGACAGTCGATGTAAGGGGGACTCCGATGGGGGCAGTCGATGTAAGGGGGACTCCGATGGGGGCAGTCGATGTAAGGGGGACTCCGATGGGGGCAGTCGATGTAAGGGGGACTCCGATGGGGGCAGTCGATGTAAGGGGGACTCCGATGGGGGCAGTCGATGTAAGGGGGACTCCGATGGGGGCAGTCGATGTAAGAGGGACTCCGATGGGGGCAGTCGATGTAAGGGGGACTCCGATGGGGACAGTCGATGTAAGGGGGACTCCGATGGGGACAGTCGATGTAAGGGGGACACTGTGATGGGGGCAGTCGATGTAAGGGGGACTCTGATAGGGACAGTCGATGTAAGGGGGACTCTGATGGGGACAGTCGATGTAAGGGGGCACTCTGATGGGGACAGTCGATGTAAGGGGGACTCTGATGGGGACAGTCGATGTAGTCGATGGATCCTTACCTTGTCCTGCGATCCCCCGATCCTTACCTTGACCTGTGACCCCCCCGATCCTTACCTTGTCCTGCGATCCCCCGATCCTTACCTTGTCCTGCGATCCCCGATCCTTATCTTGTCCTGCGATCCCCGATCCTTACCTTGTCCTGCGATCCCCGATCCTTACCTTGTCCTGCGATCCCCCAATCCTTACCTTGTCCTGCGATCCCCCGATCCTTACCTTGTCCTGCGATCCCCGATCCTTACCTTGTCCTGCGATCCCCCGATCCTTACCTTGTCCTGCGATCCCCCGATCCTTACCTTGTCCTGCGATCCCCCGATCCTTACCTTGACCTGTGACCCCCCCGATCCTTACCTTGACCTGTGACCCCCCCGATCCTTACCTTGTCCTGCGATCCCCGATCCTTACCTTGTCCTGCGATCCCCCGATTCTTACCTTGTTCTGCGATCCCCCGATCCTTACCCTGTCCTGCGATCCTCCAATGTCCTCCTGCTGCGTCCTCCAGCCGATGCCGGCATCCGTTTTCCCAGGTTCCCTTCCCTGCGAGCGTCGGTACGCAGGGGGCTGAACTGGTGGGAGATTCAAAAAAGTAAAAACATGACATACACATAACACATTGTAATCTATTAGGATTACATTACTGTATCAAACCATTTCCCCTCAGTTTTGTCCCTAGTGCTTTGTCCTGCGCCCTGCCTGCACGTTTACCGTTCTTTCTGCCTGGAAACCCGAGAACGTTCATGGCATCCAAAAAGCGTCCCTTTAGGTCAAAAGCGGTTTTTGACCAGCTAGAGAACAGCGATAGTAAATTAGAACCACTTGCAGAATTGAGTGATAATGATTCGTGGGGAAATTCGTCATCAGACACTGAAAACTATTCTGTGACTGAGCTCAGTGATGTGCAAACTTGGCGCTATATTTCAAATTTCAGTGTTTTTGGTTTGATTACAATATTTAATTAAATTTATTATTATTATATATATTATTATTTTTTATAATTATTTATATTATAATTTATGATTTCGTGTTTCAAACTTTATCATACTCAGGATGTTTACTAGACTCTTGTTTAGAATTAAGTGAGTTATGACTTCCTATAACAACGAGCTGTCAACAGCCCTTGACTCACTAGCACCTTTAACCACACGAAACATCAGACCCCGACCGCTCCAGCCCTGGCAGACGGATCACACCAAAACTCTCAAATGACACAGTCATTCCCTGGAGCGACTATGGCGCAAAACCAAATCCCAACAAGCCTTCACCCGCTATAAATCTGCCTTCCACACCTACACCTCTTCCTTCCACACCGCCAAGCAAACCTAATTCCTGACCCTCATCAAGACCCTCTCCTCCAATCCTCGCCGACTCTTCTCCACCTTTAACTCTCTACTCTCTCTGCCCCCACCTCCACCCAGCACCTCACTCACTGCCCTTGAGATTGCCAATCACTTCAAAATCAAGATTGACACAATTCGCAAGGACATCGTTGCAGCTCACACTCCCTCCAAACCCGCCCCCTCTCACACAACTACCCCCCTCATCACCCCTGTCCCTCGACACAATCTGTAGAGACTTTGTCGCTGCTCAAACTCCCTCCAACCCTGTCCCTTCTCACACAGCTACCCCCTCATCACCCCTCTCCCACGGCCCCACCACTGCTCTGACCTCCACCCCACCCAACATTCCTCACAATGAAGCCCCCTCAAAACTCCACACCTTCGACCTTACTACCATCGAGGAGGTCTCCAAGGTCTTCTCTGATGCCCACCTCACCACCTGCCCCCTCTACCCTATCCCCTCACAACTCCTACGACCTCCCTCCCCCTCCATCCTACGCTCCCTCACCCACATCTTTAATCTCTCCCTCTCTTCCGACGCATTCCCCTCTGAAGCATGCACACATCACCCCCATACTTAAAAAGCCCTCCCTGGACCCCAAAGACCCGAACAACCTTAGACCCATCTCCCTGCTCCCATTCACATCCAAACTCCTCAAGTGCTTAGTCTACACTTGCCTAAGCTCTCACCTCAATAACAACCTCCTCCATCCCCTATAGTCCGGCTTCCGTCCCCTACACTCCACCGAAACTGCCTTACTCAAACTCTCCAACGACCTTCTAACCGCCAAAGCTAATGGCCACTAGTCAGTGCTCCTACTCCTTGACCTCTCCGCAGCCTTCGACACAGTCGACCACCCCCTCCTCCTCCTCCAAAAACTACACTCCCTCGGCCTCAGAGATTCCGCTCTCTCCTGGCTCTCATCCTACCTGTCACAACGCTCTTTCAGCGTTACCTATAATGCTACCACCTCCCCCTCACTCCCCCTCTCTGTTGGGGTCCCTCAAGGCTCCGTCCTCAGGCCCCTTCTCTTCTCCATCTACACCTCCTCCCTTGGCCAACTCATACACTCTCACGGCTTCAACTATCACCTCTATGCCGACGACACACAAATCTATCTCTCAACCCCTCGCCTCCGCCCAAATCACAAACCTACTGAGCGACATATCAGACTAGATGTCGCTCCACTTCCTTAAACTGAACCTCTCCAAAACCGAGCTCCTAGTCTTCCCCCCAGCCCGCACACCACACCCCATTGACTTCTCCATCACGTCCAACAATGCCACAATCAGGCCCACCCCGCAGGTCAGTGTACTTGGTGTCATTCTGGACTCCAACCTATCCTTCCAGCCCCAAGTCCAATCATTAACAAACTCATGCAGACTCCACCTCCGCAACATCGCCAAAATCTGCACGTTCCTAACCCCAGAAACCACTAAACAGCTCATCCACTCCCTCATCATATCACGACTCTATTACTGCAACTCCCTCCTCACTGGCCTGCCTCACCACAGGCTATCCCCACTTCAGTCGATCCTGAATACGGCAGCCAGACTCATTAACCTTACCAACCTGTCAGGAATGGACTTGCCAATAATGGTGGGACTCACCTGCCTTGTGGGCTGCAGTACCAGGGCTGGCCAGCGGGTGCTCTCAGCATCAGAGACTCACCCCTGCAATCAGCCAAACACCTGAAGCTGATTGCAGGGGTTGTATTTAAGGAATGGCCAGACTCACAGTCAGGGCCTTGGTGTGTGGTTTTCCATGGGCCCCTGTACCTTGTATCCTGTATTCCTATTCCTGTCTGACTTGTTGCCGACCCTGCCTGATCCTGACCTCTGCTGACTTCTCCTGCTTGATCCCTGGCTTGTGACCCTGACCATTCTCTGCCCGACCCTCTGTACCGCGCTGCCCGTGAGTTACTGAACCCAGCTTGTGACCCCGACCACTCTCCCGCCTGTTCCTGGTACTCCGTTTGCTACTAACCCGTCCTGCCTGACTACTCTTTGTATTGTATGGATTGTTATCGGTGGGTGGTTTGGTTTGTTTGCACTGTGTTTATGTTTAGTTTTGCACTGCGTTTTGTATTGTTAGTCTTAATAAATTATATTGTTTATTCCATATCTGAAGCCTGCGTTTCCCTGTGTCAGTCCACACACCTCTGGTCATACCTGGAGCCCTGACACAACCGCTCCATTTCCGCCACTCCACTCTGCTAATCCCTCCACTGGCTTCCGATTGCGCAATGGATCAAATTCAAAATCCTAACATTGACGTACAAAACTGTCCACCATACTGCCCCAAATTACATCACCGACCTAATATCCAAGTACCGCCCAGCACGCACACTCCGCTCCTCACAAGACCTCCTTCTCTCTAGTTCCCTGGTCTCCTCCTCCCATACCCGCCTCCAGGATTTCTCCAGGGTGTCACCCATCCTCTGGAACTCCCTGCCCCAACCCATCAGACTATAACCTACTCTCCTCTCCTTTAGGCGTACCCTGAAAACCCACCTCTTCAGGGAAGCCTACCCCACCCCCTGCTAATTTGCCAACCTCCTCCACTCTTCCTACCACTCCATCCGCCACAGCTATCTCCTCCTGTACCACCATCCCCTCCCTCCTAGATTGTAAGCTCGAAAAAGCAGGGGCCTCGAACCCCTTGTGTATCACATTGTATTGTTACTGTACTGTCTCATGTATTGTCTCCCATTG